AAATTAAAATTTAGATTTTAATTTCTATCAAAGAGATCTATATATTCTTCACTGTACAGAAAATTGTATAGCATTGAACATTATTAATAAAAAAAGTAAAAAAAAAAATCTTGTTTTATATTCTATCCACCACGAGCAGGACTACGAAGAAAATATGCGCGGTTTTTCTTTACATAGCTCATTTTTAATCATATACAAGTAGGTCTAACACAACATATCGAGATATCCTCCATGCTTCAAATTTAGAAGTTTTATATGATCGATTAATAAGCATGAAGGAATTAGCTTTTTAACTACAATTTATCAGTAATTAATATTTTGTTTTCTGAGTATTATTTTTAAAGTAAATTTTAATTCTTACAACCAAGAAAAGATGAGGAGGTGGACAATCCTTCAGTGAAATCCTAACGGGAGGCATGAAAACATAGACGAATTTATAAGAGTTTGGGTTACTTTTCTTAGTAAGATTAACCTTTTAAAATGAAATCACGAGTCTTAATAAATTTCAAGTTTCAACAAATAAATATGATATCAAACAATCACTCAGTCATAAGTGAGAATCCAAAAGCCCTCAATTCCAAACGGGTTTTTGCCATATATCAAACAATCAAACAAGCACAATTGCATAACAGCAACTATACATCACTTTGATGGAAGATTTAAAGAATTAGGCGTCGGGGAGCTGATCGGTGCAGGTGAAGTCATGGGGTGAGCAGGCCGTAGGGAGCGGCGAACTAAGTGACCGGCAGACTCTGAAGTGAAGGGTCGCGAGTCACAAGTTGATGCTGCGGATGAGAATTAAATTTCAAGTGATTATGTGAAAGGTGAAGTCGGAATTCGGCTTGTGGGCAAAGGTTGACAGTCGCAATGTTGGAATTGGGCTTGAGGCGGATTGGATTTTTTAATTTGGGCCGTTTTTTCTTAAATAATTGGATTTGAGCTTTTATTATTANTTGTGATGAATTTTAACTTTTTTCTGAATATGTAGAAAGGCTTACTAAGTTATATTATTCTAGAATATAAAAAATATGTTCACAAGTGGGATAAGGACTATTAAGTCACTCGAAGAAGAAGAAAAATAATATACGTTAAGTTCACATATTCCAACTTAGTGAAACCTTGAGCAAGCTTAAAGCAATAACAAACTTGTATATAGGGTTATTTCCCAATCAATTGTAAATGAATACGAAACTACTTGGGGTTCAACTTAAATTCTGGCCGCCATGTGGTGCATTATGAATATTTTTTAGGACAAAGTGAAAATGAAAAAAAAAGAGTGCTCAATGTTTCAATTATCGAAGGGAGACTTTAGTCAAGGTTTGATAAATGACATCTTCCCTATTATGAAAATTAGAAGAAATTTGTTATCTTCCAGTCTTTTCATTCTATATATAAATGTGTTTATTACTTTATTGTTGGCCTATTATAGCTGTTCTTCAGCATTTGTTACAGGATAGACTAAGCAAAATATCAAGCAAGAAATAACATTTCTGAAGGGAGAGCAATGAAATAAATGAAAGGGAAGTGTACGACTATAAAAAAATGGAGCAGCACTTCATCCCAAACCTACCATTGAGAATTGCCCCCGATATCAAGCAAGAAATAACATTTCTCAAGTGAGAGCAATGAAATAATGAAAGGGAAGTGTGTGACTATAAAAAGGTGGAATAGCTCTT